TGAGTATTCCGCAGTCGGTAGCGCCCGACTGCAACGTTCTTACTTGTTTAAATTGGTTGCGGATGGAAAACACGTGCAGTCAAATCGCTTTACGAATAAGAATATGAAAAGATAACCTAAATCTGCATGCTTAGTCGACGAATAAGAAGAATACGCAAAGAACCAAGATAACGGTAAATCGGCTTGGTTTCGGCTGTGAAGAGAAGTAGAAGAACGAAAATATACATATGCAATTCATGAAACGTGCAAAATGATTTTTGATTTTTAACACTTTGAATTTAGCATATTCAACCTTACAGTTTTTTTAATGTGTTGTTAATAATAAACAAACGAAATAAATCTTGATTTGCTTGTATGGCATAATTTTTATGCGTCAAGAAAGTCAGTTTTGTGAAACATCCACTCATTTTTGCCCGGTACTGTATATGTGTATATTCAAATACATATTTGAAATACTATTAATACGGTTTTATTTTTAAATATTTCTATAGAAAAAGTGACCATGATATTATGGACAATAGCTCGATGGCCGCTTCAACGATGACAAGTGATGACATTAAATCCAGTTCGCCCATTAAATCGGGTAGCCAACGCCGACCAAAGAGCAAAAAGAATGCTTCTACGTGCACCAATACTAATGAAGTGGGTACGCTTACTAACGCTACTGGAGATAGCTCCATGCTTTCAGTGATGGAAATCGAAAGTAATTCAAAAAAATCGCCGACTACCTGCTCTTCTCCCAAGACACATTGTTCATCTTCTGAGAAACAGGATGTGCATATAATCAACGAACGCAATGGTCTAAATTACCAGAAGAATAACGCTGCTATGCAGGATGAAGATGAAGATAGTGAGAGCGAAAAGCTGTCACCATTACTATCGTCAGGGACACAAAGCAAGAATAGTTCGAATAAGTCAGTGAAGCTGGTTTTAGATAGTATCGACACTAGTGATAACGAGGATATGGTAACAAACGACCTTGTTAATGATACCGTAGTCAGCGTTAATATTGATGGTGATGATATTTCGACGAAGCACAATGTACATGGGTTGGATCGTACTGATGCTAATGGGCCACTGAAAGATCCAGGTATATTGGCAACCAACTTGAGTGCTGAGGATTCTGATTATTATACACCTGATGACATCCAAAGCAATATACTTAGTCCGTTGTATTCTTCAGAGCGAGTAAAGAGCGGTGATTCTTTGTGTTGTAGCTGCGCTGCTTTGAGTCATGGTAATTGCGATATGAATGTACTTAATGCTGCTGGGATAGATTTTAATGCAATGGTGAAAAGAAATCAAAATCTAAAAAAAAAATCAACGTCCGCGGGTAATATTGTTGGCCCTAAATCTGTAGCTCCTGCTAGTACTGGGGTTGATTTAAAGAGCAATAATGTAAGCTCACTTCCTGGTAAGCGATTAAAATATGTCTACCTTTATGTCTATAATACAGTATGAATTTACAGATATGTTGGACAGCCCGGCAAGCGGCAATTCAGCGTCTACGCGTAGCTCTAGTGACAGCTACTCATCGAGCTCATCTACCAAGCAGTTGCTTAGCTCTAATACAACCACAGCAGCTGCTAATATTATTGTCGATGATAAAAGTTCGCTGCAGAATGCAGTTAATGTTTAAATAAATATAATATATAGAAATGAGTAAATAAAGCCCTTAGTCTCGGTTCAACAGCATTAATTATCATTATTATTATTAATTTTATTATTATTATTATTGCCATTATTTAAAACAACAATGAAAGGTACTATAATAGTTAACTGAGTTGTCGCCACAGCTGCTCACACCTTTCATGTCAGGAGCATCCGGTAGAATGAAATAAAATCGGTTAATAATTTAAAAAAAGTGAAATCAGCATAATTATGAGTATTGAAGGCTAAGGAAACATATAATCAGCCTAAATCATCTTCAAAAACCTAGACGATCCACTGACCAAACAACACATAGACTAGACATGTAGTACAACATTTTTCAACACCGAAAAGTCTGCTTCCTAGGGCCTATCAATTTCGTATTTGCTCGGCACTTCACTTTTAGGTTCGGGCTACGACCGAGATGGTCAAATGTTGAATAAAAGTTGTCTCTGTGCTCAATTTTTGTTGTTGCTCCTTCGCTCTCTCTACTCTCTGATCTCTCAAATATGTATATGCATGTAAGCACATTCAGTTAGCTTTATCACGCATTTTGGACCAATGGGACGAGCTTAAATTGCATTTCGAATTGGCCGCGACAAAAGAAAAATGCTACATGTCGCAAATTCTCTATAAATTCTTTAATGACCAAATTAATAAATTATATTTAATTTTTTTAAAACCAATTCTGTGCGACATGCAGAAAGTAAACAAGTGCTTTCAAAACAATAAAACAAATGCCACAGAATTGGCAAACGACTTGATGTTTGCCATAAAATCGTTAAAAATTTTATTGCTCCACTTAACAAGGAAATTGACGTATTGGAAATAGAAAACTTTGAAGAGCATGTAGAATCCGAT